AATATCAATCACCCAGGTCATATCACCTCGGAGCGTCCAGGCACTTTATGTTTACAACAAATGAAGGAAAAAACTGTTGGTAAGGACTTAAGTATTCGAAAATGTATTTATCACAGGAATTTTAACTTAAAAATACACTTAAACTATAACATTCAATGAAATCATGTTGCGTTACAAATCAAAGCAACCTCATAGCACATTAGTCTAACTGTAAGCGCACAGGCATATTGCGCCGCAAATCACAAATTATATTATAATCCAAATATTCCTCTAAACTACAAATGTACTTCATCGTAAAAAATCTTTCGCACAAATCGTAGATAAAGTATCGTATACTACTACCCACCAATGACGGTCAAGTGCAGACTTCACTTTGCGGTGTGTAATTGTACTATTTCTGGCTCATTTTAGGAACAACTTCTACGCCATTAGTTTCTTTTTGTACTGAAGTACCTAAATCGAGTACATCTGGCAAGAAGCCACTTTTTACACCTATCTTTAATAAAATGTAGTGCATTTTTTCACAGGATTCGTTAAAATTGATCTTATTATGTTGTTTTGTCAAGGGTATCCTCAAACTTCCCTTAATCACAACGTAATACCATGGCGGAGGCATCTTCCAATTTTCGATTAATAATCTATTAATCGAGCCCTTAATCGATTTAAGTAACCGTCGGATTACATTCTGCAATAAGGAACCACTAACTCTGGCTCTCGTATAAAAGCACATATCTGCATAGGGGAACAAATGGCTTGTCTGATATTTCTAAATTGGGCCAGGAATTGCAAAGTGTAATCAAAGTGTCCGTGAGTCTAAATAATTATTAGTTTTCAATTAATCAGATAGGTCATGCGTTATGCAACGAAACGTTTTCTCGCGCGAATTAATCCAAAATTCAAGCGATTTTATAAAACTAGCCATTTTAGCGCATCTCGAAAGAAATGAATTAATTATCGAATCATGAATCGAATTATGAATTATCGAATTATTAATTATTAAGAAATTACATCGCTGCCAATTAAGCGCTTGATCGATTAGCTACTTGTTTCGATAACCGATTATCGATTTGCCGATCTTTTAAATAATCGAACATGCCTTACAGTTCTTTTTAAGTAAGAAATTGCGTACGGAGGGACTTTCAACACGGCCCTATGTACTCTTTTTCTTGATTTCTTATTTACACTCCTGGTTCTCCCCAGTTTGACGACAGTATGATGGAATGCCGAAACTGCAGCGATACTTTGACGCGGCGAGAGCGTCGCCGGGGGGCAACGCAGTGCAACGGGCCGCAATTTTCTCATGAGGGCGACTCTAATTGCGATTATCTAATCGAGGGATTTGCGATTCGGCGCCCGGCCGGGGTTTGAGTAAGACCCATTACCGAATATCATATCTCAGCGTGGCGAAAGATAAGTGCTTTTACCTTTGGATCGTTGGCCGCGCGACGCCACGACGCGGGCGCCACCTCGCGGCCGAATCGCGTACGGGGCGCGAGCCATCGCACAAAGGAAAGCCAATGGAAGCGATTGGACATGGTTTGGAAACTTTCAAAGCTCAGATCTGGAAAAATGCGAAACTTAGACGTTTATAGCCGTGTTTACAGTTTTTCAGATCCTTTTCTTATGGAGACCATACGAGGTTTACACTGGGATTAAGGGAGTTCTAAGGAAGCCTCGAACAAAGTGCATTAAACGGAGACGGACGATTTTTACGAACTTAAATTATTACTGTTTTTTTATGGAATAAAATTCAGCAGTATTACTTTCGAAATGGATCCTTACAAGCGATTCAGAGGATTAATACCAGTGGCGAGTCCTGAATGATTCATTATCGATATTTACCTATTTGAAGCTGTGGTAAATACTCGATTCCGTAGGTTTAAATGACAAATTAATCGATATACTGCAAAGCACGCCACGCCCCTGTTGTGGCTTGGTTTCTTTCTATTGAACGCGGACCAATTCTACTTTTGAATTTTTTTGAGGTCTGCAAAAGTTGTCTTTTCGTATGGAAATATATTCAACGCTTCCTCAAACCTCCCATAATCAAAAAGTAAGCAATACGAGGTTTTTCTCAAATGAAGGAGCTGTTCATGGAACGGCTGCAAATGACCCTTAAAAGAGCTTTAATGGTTTTTTTCTCCATTTTCAATAATAAAATCCTTTATGAGTTACAGAGTGACGAAATAAACATAAATATTTGCAGTTTTAGTAAAAAAGTGTTATACGTTCAAATTATTCCCATCGCTGTCTCTCGTGCCTCGCTTTGAGCCGCGTTTCAAACTCGCTTGGTTTAAGGTGTGAATGAAATCATGTTTGACACCATCATGGGTTAGATACTCGAAAAAAAAAAAAAAAAATAAATAAAAACGAACTTCTCTCGATGTTTTCTTGCACTGTGCGACGGGGAGCTCGGCGGATGTTCGGCGTCCGCGCGTAACCGCGCCAATAAAAACTAATGATATACGCAGCAGCGGTTCCTCGTTTCGTTACAGTTCACACTCACTCTTCGCCGCCCTGAAACGCGCCTTGCAAAATATGAAATTTCATCGAAGAAATTCCGCTCCGGAACGCTGTTTTGGGAACGCCGGCCGTTCTCACGGCTCCTTGCTTCCTCTATTGGAAATCGCTACAATGTTTTGCGATGCTGGTTCAAGTTGAGAACAATCAGTCATTTTAGCTTATCGATGTATGGTCTCGTGCCCTCCGGTTCAAGCTGAGTTTGGAGTTAACAGAGCGAGATGAATGTATTTATCCTTTTATCTACACCCTAGACGCGGCTGGTGAATCGATTAGGATTCTGTTTTGGCCTTTAAAGGATAACGCAGTGCTTTTAAGTGCAAATATGTTTACATAAATCCTTTGAAACTTTTGTAGTCGGGTTTTATCGCATTTTTCAGTATTTGTTCGTTCGTTTTTTCAAATGAAGGAAGACTCTGTTCCGTTTTTCTGGATTAACAAAGAAGCCCCACATAGCTTGTCTTCGCTCGCCCGTAAATCCGATATGCCCCATTATTTATTGTTTAATTAACGTAAAATTAAGTTATTTTTTTACTTGAAAAGCATCTATCTCCCAGAAGGAAAGATACGGTTCGTATGAAGCAACATTTATTTAAAATATTTCAAACCGTATATCCATCAGCCTATGACAAGAGTTGAATCAACCTTGAAAGTTGGACACCACTAGCTTAAGAGATTTGTCTACAGCCCCCTCCCCTAAAGTATTGAAACCTCCCAAAAGCCAGAGTTGATTATACATTTGAGGCATGGATTTTGCACGACTTTTTGTGATTTGTTGCAGTGATGACACATTCTTCGTTTTATTTTTTTTTAAAAAAGAAGAAGAAAAATACTCTGATCTGTATGAAATACCAGAATTTTCAGTCCAGGTAGCCGAACTTTTCGATCGAAGGGTCTGGGTTTTAACACCTGTAGCTCGAGTTTCTGCTCGTCTTTTCGAGGCTCGTTTTTCATCGAAGACTTATTTTTTCTGAACCTGTAGGCTTGATTTTACGACTGGAACGTTGGCTGTATGCACTGGAAAAAAAAGCACATTGGATCTAGAGTCCAGACTCTTAAAAACATCGACAAGAAAAAGTACTCTTGATTCAATCAGAATCTAGCTTAAATCAAGAACCGAGCCTCTTAATTTAAGCGGATTTCGTTTTGATTCAAGCCAAAATCCGATTGAATCAAGAGTATTTTTTCTTGTCAATGTTTTCAAGAGTCTGGGCTCTAGATCCAATGTGTTTTTTTTCCAGTGTGGACTAAAAACTTGGGTGTCCTTACGAACTACTGAAGATGAATCGTTCCTTGCACTGATAATGACGCCAATTTTCTTGACCCTCAAGCTAAAGACCGATTAAGAGGATTGGTCATAACTTTTAATGATTTCCTCACAAGAATTCATTTGACTGGTTTTCGTACTTATACAACACAAATAGTTGAGGTAATCAGAAAGTTTGGACTATTATTAGCGTTTCCATTTCATGCTAACAGATTTCTTGTTGCCACGATTAAACGTTGATAACCTCGCTACACCATTGATGACCGAGTTTTTTCGGCTGTAAGTTAGGTAAATACCAGAGTACCAGCAATTTTTCCTCTTGAAGTCCCAGAAAAGCTATCTCAATATGACTTTTCCCGTTACATCAAAAACCTTTTTAAGGGGCTTGAAGAATATGGTGCATAATTGCAGTTTTTGCAAAAATCGAGATATTCATCAACTCAACTAAAACTAGTTTGAAAGTTTATTCTGTGGAAAATTCACTACTAAAATCCAACAATCAAGCATCAAAAAGTCAGTTTAAACTTCCTTTCCGCCATTAGGCTCCGTGTAATTTTGAAACTTTTAACTCATATTTCCTGGAATAGCAAAAACTGCACTTATGCGCCTTGTCCTCCAAATGAAAATTTGTCTCCGTTTTACTCAGTGAGAGATTTCACCAGCAATCCACACATTTTCCCTATGTCCCATTACACAGCGCGGTCAGAGTGATTTCGGTAGAAAAATTTCCGATGTAACTTACGATACGGCACGATAATAGGAGCAGCTGCAGTTGTTTATAAAAAAATCAGTGTGCAAGCAGTAGTGTGTGCATCTGAAATGAAGATTGTAGCCTTTTCAGAGCTTTCAGCAACAAAAATGCACTTCCAACTCGGTATTATCAAAGGTGAACCCGCTCGTACCCACTATAGCGCCTTCAACATCGTGGAAACACTTCAAACGCTACACCATTTGTCCGTATACGTGCCGTAGTGCGAATTGCCTACACTGCGCTTGCCGAAGTGTGCACCGTATTTCGAGATGTACATCGTCCACCGGCGATCTAATTGAGCACATTCTGCACGTCTGAGTGGCTTTTCCGGGGTCTGGACCCCTCAGGAATGACGAGCGTTCCGAAAAACATAATTTTTCTTGGATTTTAGGACTTTTTAATCTACGAAAACAGCTCCCTTCTACCTTACGGAAAGAACGCAAATGTAGTTTGTTTAATATATGGTGTCTCATGGAGAGGTTTACTGTGTACACACTGGAGCAATAACACATGTTACAAGTAACACAATATATTTTTCTATAGGGTTCAGGCCGTTCATGAACTCTACTAAATCCACTTTGAAAGTCTGTTCTGTGAAAAATTCAAAATCATTTCCAGCTTTCAAGCATCAAAAAGTGAGTTTTAACCTCCTTTCTGCCATAAGATTCCATGTAAATTTGAAACTTCAACCACGTATTTCTTGGAACAGCACAAACTGCACTTATGCGCTTTGTCTTCCAAACCCCTTAATTTTTCTCATTGTGTACCAGAAGTTGCATCCTCGTACGGAGCTCATTGTTGGTGGGCTTGTAGCTGGGTCTCGTCCCCGGCGGTGGTGACGTGGTAGGGGACGTCAGCGACGCCGGCGTGGGCGACAGGGAGGGCGATCTGGGCGCCGTGCGTGGCGGAGGCGACGACGGCCGGGACGGACTGGGAGATGACGGGCGTCGGCTGGGCCAGGTAGGTGATGGGGGGCGCCAAGTGCGGGAGGAACCCGAAGGGCGTCACCGGCGGCGAGTAGCCCAGCGGGTACGGGAACGGCGACGCCAGCCGCGCCACCGGGATCACGTGCCGCAAGGCAGGGACGCCCTGGTGTCCCTGGTGCCCCGGATGGGGGTGGTGGGCCCGCGGGGGTGGCGGTCCTTCATGTCCGGGTCCCGGTCCCGACTTGGCTGCCCGCTCTCGCTCCGCGTCGTAGTCGTACTGCTGGAACCGGTCGTAGGGGCTGTGGTGGAAGAAATGCTGAGGCGGGGTCGGCCGCTGGTAGTTCTGCCCACCCTCGTTGTGGTACCGGCCCTGTCAACAGAGATCAGGGAATTGAATTAGTCAATCATGATCTCGAGGAAGGGAGCACTCCCGGTGAAAACTGATTGGCCACTGGCCAAAGTCAGGAATGATCTGTTGTATTTATTGAGTTAGTCACTGAACACTGAAAGTACTTTAAATAACAGGCAGTCATTTATTAACCAGGATATACATATAGTAATTATTTGAAATTTGAGCTCAATATATATTTCAAGTCTAGCTCGCACTTTCCTCAAAGTAGTATCAGGTATCAAGCTTCATTATTTATTTTCTATCATAAAAATCGTCTTATCAAGCATTCTAAAAATGATAATAAGGTTGTTCATTTCTCTGTTTAGTAATATTTAAGTGCTGCTTTTAAATCAGCACTGAAACATTATTAATATAGCTAAGAACACAGAGGAAAGCGTGGAAACTTAAACCCATGCGCAGGAAAGTACACTATTTCACGACTACGCCAGGCAACTTCCTATTCGTCCAGTCCAATGATAGTGGAGTAGTGTAGTATGTTCGTGCAGTTCTATCCGTCACATGCTGAAAAATGTTCGTTGTATGCACACCTCAATTGAGTCGAGAGACAGACAGGAAAGCTTGGAGACTTTAACGCATGTGTAAGAAAGCACTCCATTTCATGGTTTAACAGCTCAATTTTATAGTCCAGTCCAGTGGGCTATTTTAGCCATGGTGCAAAATTTTTCCTTGCCTAACACCTTACTAATTTCATTTGTCTCTGTGTTTACTAATACAAAGTAAGTGCCAAAATTAAATAGATCCGTCCGAAAAAAATGAATAATTTCCATATGAATAGAAATTTCATTCATTGCAAAACTCGGCATATGGCTCATCGCCCTCCGTGGTAGCATCGTCTCTTCCACCTCGGTTTCATATGTGTAGTAGGTCTAGCAACTAGTACAAATGTGTGTATCATAGACGCGCTACCGCAGTGGATAATGTCTTACGCCGTGTCTTTGAATGATTGGTACATCCCCCAATATTGGACGTAGAAACTTGGCGTTTGAACAGCTCTACTCATGTTTTACTGATCTGTATACTGAAACCATTAGGACTCAATTCCGTATAACTAGCGCAACTGGTCCACACAGGGAAAAATGGATTACTGATTTAATTGTCAAAAAATAAGTCTGACAGGTTTCAAATGTACATTTTACAATAGCGGAGAGCTAAATTTACCACGGGGTTGGTTGAATTTTTTTTTTTAAATTGTAAAATCTACATCGAAACATCTCGGACACTTTTTTCAACCACAAAATTGTTAAATCAGCAATGGGTCAGTTGCGCTGGTCACAGAATCGTGTGTTGGTGCTTGATCATCTTATCTCATGATAAGAAGATCTTTTAAGTACGGATCCGGTTGCTTCTTGAGTGTCTTTACGTTTAACGTCTTGAAGTTTCGCGTTGCACCCTCTACGTCACTGATCGAAAAAAAGAGGAAGAAACCAAGGGTGTTACCTGTGACTGCCACGGTGGATGACGTCAAAAATCTGACTTTTCACAGGGCAATATCTTGGTTAATATCGAACGTAGAAAGTTGCCGTTTGGACAGATCTCATCATTTTCTGCTTATCTACAAGAATCAAACATCAAAACAAGATTCTGTGACCAGCGCAAATGACCCATTTTATTTTTTTCCGTGGCACTTTTCTGAAACATATCTCCACTTTTTCCTCCCAAAAAAATGTGAGTTCTTACTTGATTCTGGTTGTGGTCGAACTCATGGTCGGGGATCGAGTATCCGTAGCTATACTGGGAGAAAGGGGCGCCACCCCCTCCGCCTCCTCCTACACCACCCCCGGCGCCGGCGGCCCCAAGGGGATGTCTATGACCTCTGTGAGAGTGAGCAGGGGCCGGGAGTTGGGCCCGGTCACGGGTGTCTTTCTCGTTCTCCTCGCTCTCTCCGCTGGTCGATTCTTCGCGTTGGAGTTTCCGCGAGTTGGAATTGGGCGCCCCCAGAGGGTAGTTCTTCCCTTTGAATCCGTTCTGCCGCTCTCTTGTCCGCTCGTCGCTTGAAGAGGTCGCCGCCGCCCGGAACCTAATGGCAAACAAAATCACCAACGCGAAAAGGACCTGCGAACATAGAAACATTGGATCATTGTCCTGCCCTTGCATTTAAGTCTCCATATAAGTCGGAAGCAAACAGAATAGTTAAGACAAATAAAATCACCAATGCGAAAAGGACCTGCGAACATAGAAACATTGGATCATTGTCCTGCCCTTGCATTTAAGTCTCCATATAAGTCGGAAGCAAACAGAATAGTTAAGACAAATAAAATCACCAATGCGAAAAGGACCTGCGAACAAAGAAACATTGGATCATCGTCCTGCCCTTGCGTTTAAGTCTCCATATGAGTCGGAGGCAAACAGAATAGTTAAGACAAATAAAATCACCAACGCGAAAGGGACCTGCGAACGTAGAAACATTGGATCATCGTTCTGCCCTTGCGTTTAAGTCTCCATATAAGTCGAAGACAAATAGAATAGTTAAGACAAATATTTAATAAACGTACGGAAGAAAAAGTTTTAGGGGTTTAAAATTGTGTTAGTACTCCAATGTGTTGGTTGTTATGGACATTACCGATTAATTTCGGTATTACTGTAATTCGAGTTGGGGGTATAGTATCGCGACATTTGGGTTAGTAACCTATAATTTATTAAGGTACTACCACAATTAATTGGAAATGTCTAAGTTAGGACTTAACCCTTACGTCTTTATTTTCCATGCAGGTTTTTCAATGATTAAACAGCCCGACTCTAGGAGTATATTCTGTGGGTCAAAACAATACTTTTATCCTCTTATGAAGGTTATTTCACGATGAGCCCTCAGCCAGTGTCACTACTCCCTCCCTCTCGCAGAAGGGCCTTATACGGAAAATAGCCGCTTATGGAGTGACATGGAATGTATAAAATATGTTTTGTGATGGTTTCAATTAAAATATCTGTCATGGCGAGTACCACAATTCTGATAACGAAAGTAAACATCAAAATTTGAGCATAAAATCGTCAATAAGTGCAGTATGAATCGAACTCGTGTTGATCATTTTTTGGCTGTATGATTCCGCTGTTTCTGGAAAAGTTTGACTTTGATTCTTAAATATCTTTGAATGGACTGTAAAATTTAGCACTGTTTAATTACTTGAAAGTTTCCCCCCTTTTCCACTAATATTTAATGTGTTTCTTTTTGTTGCAGGTAAATGATAATTTTTTAAGTTTCAAATGATTGTGGTGTACACACAGTAATGCACTCAGAAGCTAACTTGCCGTGGTAACTTTATGTAAGTTTCTCCATCCTCTCTTTCTCCATGTACATTTTTTAATTTAAAAAAAGGGGATATCTGGAATACCTAAAAAGCGCATTACTTAAACGTTACTAGATACGGACCTTAGTTACTAGATTAATGAAGCTAACTTGCCGTGGTAACTGCAGGTAAGTTTCTCCATCCTCTCTTTCTCCATGTAATTATTTTAATTAAAAAAAGGGGATATCTGGAATACCTAAAAAGCGCATTACTTAAACGTTACTAGATACTGACCCTAGTTACTAGATTAATGATAGAACTTAAAATCTACCATTAAGTATGTTTAAGAAGTATGCCCTGCTTCCTTGAATTATTATTCATTATTATTTTTTCCCTCCATTTTCCCCTAAAATTTTATCTCGACCGTTCCAATCGCGGCTTCACACTCGACATCTTGAGCAGTTACTCAATTCTTCGTTTTTCAGGTGAAATAACGTGACTAATTTTCAACGTCGCATAATCAAAGCGTTGGATGCAGAAAGAGCGTTTCTTGGTCGTGATGTCTCAGAACCTCCGCTAACGTTTTATCCATAATAATCAAAGCAAATTGTGTGGAATTGTTTGAAGCTTTTACTGAATTTCCTTAATGATTTTACAGTGCTGGAAACGAAAAATTGCAGAAAATTCACTTTTTGGTTTCCTCTCTAAATTAAAAATGACCAGTGACGATTTGAGACACCGCAATCAGGAAATGCCCTTTTTGCACCCAACGCCTCAATTTTGGACGATCAACCATGTCCTTTTTAGTTAGTCGGGCCGAAAACAAAGTAACTTAAACATCCTACGTAACCCTATACATGGAAATGTTTAATTGCATAGTGGTCTATTAAACTTAACAACGAAAACAGGGTCATTCCTTACCTTCAAATGCATCACTGAGTGAGATTCGCACTACTGACAATGAACTCGGGAAACTGCCTCGAAGCGGCGAAGTTTTCTCGCCCACTCGGCTGGTGGGTCACTGTGACCCGCCATAGAAAAGCATGAGGATGGTGGCGCAAACATCGGTCACAAAATCCACCGTTGTTAAATTTCCCCCTCATCTAGTGCACTTAACCCTGCAAATCCATAAACTCCGAGAGAAATATGACGACGCGGCGGAGAAGTAGAGCAGTGCAGCGCTGTATTTTTCCTCGCAGGTTTCCTCGATTATACCTTGTCTATCGTTAGTTTTTCGTCCGATCTGATGGCGCAGGGTGATTTTCTGCCACCGACGTCTGAGACGCCTCGATTCGGTTATCTGTCATTAGACCTTGATATGGTCCAGTGGCCAGTGCAGTTCGCAGTTCCTACTATTTTGGCGAAGTCCCAGCGGTCCGATTATTGAAACTGATAGATAAAGCGATAGACAAAGACGACAAAAGGGATTTGGAGGGATCCTATTGGTGGAAACGGGTTGTTGCAATGGACAAAGGAGGTAGGTAATCGACTAAGTAACGGCAACCCACGAGAAACCCGACAGTTAGTCTATCATTTTCCCCCTTAGTCGATGAGAACCACCCATTTCAACCAATAGAATTGCTTTATACCCCCTATGTCATCTTTGTCTATCGCTTTGTCTATCAGTTTCAATAATCGCCCCGCAGCTTAGAGGTTGGAAAGGTTTTGAGTCAAAACCTCGTCAAAACTTTTGACATGATTTAATTATTCGTGTTTCATGTTTTTTTTGACGAAAGAAACTTTTAGACGAGCAACAATTAAGATGTGTCAAAATGTCAAGTTTCTACGTCCAATATTAATGGAGTTCTCGTCCGTCGAGTAATCCTCCGAAATTTGTTCCAACCCCCCACCCTTCCCCGCAAGAACAAATGAATTCGCCATAAGTGATAAGTTCTCTGCTCTTACATGGTTCTCATAAACTTTGATACTTTTTATGGCATGTTATCATTTTCCTCAATTTGTCCTCGAGAAATTGTAAGCATATGAAAAAAAAAACATCTTTTTGTAAGGAATCCAACAAATAACTACCTACCTCATGAAACGCATTTAGCGTAATACACGCAGAAAACGAATGGACCTCAAACTGCTGCGATAGAATTGCGCGAATGCCCCTTATTTTACCTTATTTGATATGCTTAGGATTGCGAGAATTTTTCTGGTACTAAAAACTCACATATTTGCGCGAATATTCAATATTCAAAGAGGAAGCGTTAATCTGGCAACCATGGTAGTTTGTGGTAGATAGCTACATCGCGGAGGACTGTTCGTTCCCTATTCATTTACAGGCATGTCTCTCTTCGATGAATAGCCCTCGCAGCACGGATGACCTACAGAGCTTTCGTAGACATTTAGAAAGTGAATTGGGGGCCTCTGGCCACTAACCACTGAAAAAAATCTACACGTAAAAAATCGTAAAACAACCATGTTCAAGTTCTTTTTAAAGATGGATGGATTCAAAACACGACGGATACACCCGAAAGAAAGCGTATATTTATCTCTGATTGCAACGTTATGCACCACTTTCATGTTTTATTTCTAATACATGCTTTTAAAAAGCTACACGCAGTTTTTCTGAAAAGTTTCCGCGAATTTAACTAAATGATCTCAAATAAAACTAATACAAGTATCGAAAATTTCGATGCAATGTTTTCGTTCGTTTTATTTTCTTTTAATGTAACCAAAACAAAATTAAATCTCATCTGAGTTTATGAATTGTTACAATGAGGATACAAATTTCCCCTTTAATTATGGTAAAAAAAACTTGAGCAGATCGTCAAACATGATGACCCGCAGTCCAACAGCATTCCTATACATTCTTGGAGGCGCTGATGCGTTTCAGGCCAACTAACCGACTGCATTGCGTTTGGCGCAATGCGTGAAGTATTCCTGCAGTCTTGCAGGGGCTAATATACGTTTAACGCCGGCTGCACTGTTCGGCGCGATTATCCGAACTCCTGTCACAGTAATCGCGGCATCGAATAATAGAACTTAAAAGCCCCATGTTGTATTTTGAAGCCGCATTAGCATTTCAACGTTACTTTGTTTCTCCCGAGTAAATATTTTTATTTTCCGAGAAAAGTTAGGTAAGTTCTTTATACCCTCGACCAATATTCAATCATATCACTTCATTTATCATCAGAGGGTAAGACATCGATGATTTGTCAACAAACTAACCTAAACTAGCGTAACATAATAATGCGTTTATTTTCCAATTGTTTCCTGCTTTGCCAAACTTCTACCTTAAATTAACTTCATTTTAAAACTCGCGCATTTCTGTAGCAGATGTTAAGGTTTTTATTCGCGCAATCTTTGTACCTTTTTCGCATAATCCTTGAATATGTTCTTAGACCTTTCGCGCAATTCTGAATTACCGCCTCATACCGGGAAAAAAACCCATACAAATCAGTAAATGGAAAAATACTTGATTTAATTAGTCAATTTTCAATATCCCACTCCAAACTGAATCGCGAGGACTGTTAAGTTGGTTTCAAAGGAATTCAGCATGTGATCTGTAATTTCATTTACTTAACTTTCCGACGTACCATGATTCAAAACATCCTCTGCACTGGAAAAAAAAAACATTGGATCTAGAGTCCAGACTCTTGAAAACATTGACAAGAAAAAATACTCTTGATTCAATCGGATTTTTGCTCGAATCAAAACGAAATCCGCTTAAAGTAAGAGGCTTGGTTCTTGATTTAAGTAGATTCTGATTGAATCACGAGTACTTTTTCTTGTCGATGTTTTTAAGAGTCTGGACTCTAGAGTCAATATGTTTTTTTTTTTTTTTCCAGTGCTCATATTAACACAAGATTTTGGTCACTATTCTCAATGTGTAGTGAGTTTTCGTAAAATATTTTATATTTTCGCCAAAAAAACTGTATTCTGCTAGAATAACTTTTTGTATCCTCAAGACTTTTAAACGGGATACCTCAGTCTCTTGCTCCCAAAACTGTGGAGTTCGAGAGCTGACATTTTAGTTATCGTGCTTTTTCTGCCGTATTTGTATGCTTGCTGAGGAACTTACTCCTTCAATCGAACTGCCCCTCAAATGTGTATACACGAAAGGTAGTATAACGACATTACGGCGTTGATTGCTCTCACCGGCCGGCCTCTCAAGCATTTCTTTTATCCATCCGTCTACTCTTCATGCCTTGAAGGAGGTGGATGATCCGCGGGACGTTGGTATATTGCTTCTCACAAGTCTCAAACTTTCTCAATGGCTCATGTCTACTTTAATTCCAAATTTTCACAGAATTTTATTCACTACTGAATCTAAAATGGAAACGCTCACAACTATACTGAGAAATTTTAATTTTAGAGGTAGTTTTGAGACTTCTGAATGTCTGAACAGCGTTTCTTCTCAGCCCAGCATTACTGTGTGCTGAGTGACTTTATCATGTTTATCTGGTAGTCATTTCTATTTTTTTATTCTAAATAGCCGTAACTATTCGAAAATTTTTGGGACAGTACTGCACCGTGCTCCGTCGGTAAAGTTCTGCAAAAATAAGGCGCTTGTATACTTAATCCTCGCCCAGAATTTGCTTTCATCATCTTTATAACTGTTTCGTTCCTGTATTCTATCTCAAAATATATCCATTTAAAATTTAACCAACTTCAAGCGAGAAAGCTGGAATACCTCAGTTATTTTTCACATAAAAAAACCTGTCTTAATGTCTACGGCGAGTTGTAACACTCTCTTTCTAAGAGAAGAGGAAATAACAATTTTCCTCAAAAAATAACGAAGACAATCGAACACTTAAATTTAATAATTAATTAAATCAAGTGGGAAGCTTTTCAAAGCACGAGCTTTAGTTTTCAAAGCTGTTTTATTTCGTAACCTTAGCGTTATCAAAAATCAACGACCTCGATCAAGTGAAAACAACCACCAGCTCCGCAGTTTTATTTTCAAGGCCGATTTCAGTTGGGTCAAGACCTAAGTGAAATAAAAGGCTCATTGAAACGCAAAATGCTGCCGAATTGACCTTTTTTTAAGTTCACACGCTCCTCGCCTACTTATCATGAGCAATCAAGTGTTTTCCCTCAATGCCACCGTGCTCATACACTGAGGAGTGTTAAGTCTCTCCTTTTGAGGTGCAATCAGGACACGGGGAATCGAAATGTCAAATACGACAAAAGAATGTAAGTGCCTTATTGTTTCTTGTGACATTTAGAGTTTTAGCCCCCTCAGTCGCTTGGAACGCGCCGAGAAGTTGGATAGTCAATGTCATTTTCACTAGAAATACTACAGCAGCTGGTCCAGTCGCTGCCAGCGCAAATATTTGTTTATGTTTCTTCTCATAAATCATTCATTTCCATTCATAATCTAAACTCTGCCGCGTTTCAGAGCACATTATTTCCAGAGTTCCACAATGTGTATGCTCTCCGGTGTTAAAGTTAATCCACTGAAGAAGCGCGTATATGGTGTTCATTATAGACCATATTTCAAGGAGAGAGGAAAAAACATATTTGTCAACTTTATATTATTAGGTTTTTAATTTTGATTATTTTAAGTTCGCAACTTAGTTCATCGTAGTATTTTAAACTCTGAAGTACTCTAGCTCGCACTAATTTTTACTCTTCATAATTAATTTTTTAACTTATTTTCGTCCATACAGAAGTCCGTAAAATATGAGATTAAAAAGAATTTTTGGACTCGTCATGTGCCTAAGAAATTACTGAATTTTTTAATCGACTCTTAATTAATAAAATATTTCGTACATAGTGGATGCTGTCACAAAGAAATAAAATAAGCTTCTTTTCTACTTTCTGTTGTTCATAAACTTAAAATGTTGTTTAATGCAACGGATCAGTAGTGACATTACTCACAAACTCCTGATGTATCTGCAACGAGTGAATCATACTTGTGCTTGTTGTCTCCTTGTTAATTGAAGGCACTTTTAAGAGGCCTCAATATGCTTTTATCGCTACCGTGGTTTCGTGCCTCTTTTTAAGAATCATTTCGTCCTTTTCTAGCTGTATTATCAATATTCACGATCAATTGA